TCCACGATACTTCACATCTAACGACTAATTCCTTGTGGTAAATGATGTTGATAGGTGTTGTATAGACCCAGATCTCACGTGATACTGGTGTGTATGCGCATGTTACAAACCAACGCTTTGTATGAACCCAGAATTGAGTTTGAAATGGAGCGACAAGTGACTCGAGACTGATGAAATGATCGTTTCTGCGATATTGATACGAGAAGAAGAATTCAAGTTTATTTAGTTTGGGCAGTTTACTACAAATGAGTTGTTCCCAATAAAAAGCATCGAACATTGAGTCAAAATCTCGCTTCTTAGAAATAACTTTGAGATGGCGCAGTGAAGGTATTGATGGAAGTAGCAACTCGAAGTCCTGCAGACGAAGTAAACAGGCACTGATAATCAAAGACTTCAGTGAAGAATGAAATATAGATGCATTAAATGAAACCACTGTACTATCCCTATCATCTAGAGTGTAGTCATGCATGATGAGAGTTCGTAAATGAGGTAATCGACGAAGAATGACCAAATAATCACCGTAGTTGCACTTAGCGATTGTTAGGTGCTCTATTCTGCAGGGATCTGGCCACATTACGATTGCCGTGTAAGGCACATTATTCAGACATAGTTTTTGAAGATTCCATCGACTGAATACTGATGACACCAGAGTCCATGCTTCACTATTCTTGTCTTCGCTCGATTCTATTGAAAGGGAAACCAAAGCGTCGGTACTCAAATTTTGTAAGAGATGCTTCAAGTCTTTATCTTGAATTCGGTGAAGGTTCAGAGAACGTAGTCTAGTAAATTGATGCCAATCGAGTAGTGATGTAAGTCGGCCAATCGACTCATCCATCCAACAATCATGGGAGATTATTAACGAAATGACACTCTCAAGTTGAATAAAACGAGTAAGTCGCGTTATGGTATCGAGTGATTCTGAATCCAAAATGAGTTCATATCGATCGTACGTGTTGACAATTGTATACATTTGTTGACAGATCGGACGAATCGAACGAATAATAGTGCGAATATCACAATAATTAAATATACGATGGACCAGTTCAACAGGTAAGTCAAGGAAGGACACATTAGCCAGTGAAGTAGAAGTCATTGTCAATAGCTTTATAAATGCGATGTTCTAGAAAGATGGGACAAAAACATCAGTTATGTTCTCTGTCTGATACTCTTCATTTGAGAGGTGAAGTGCAACTGTTACTGTCACATAATTGTCATTGTTCTATCGATTCCTACAGTAAAGGCAAAGTTTTCTAATGCGTGAAATGGTTAATTATTCATAATATATCATAAAGAAAAGCAAAGTTGCTTAGAAACAAGTTGTTCAACTGAAATATCGACGATGAAGTCCGCAGTAGAGGTTTTTCCGTGCAGAACACAATGTCAGTCAAATCCTGGATACATCAGTTAGAGATCAGTTGTGCGCAGCAGATCAATGAGACAGCTGACATCGACTAACAATAATTGTAGTCAGCTTCAGTGAAGACAGCTTCATTCTTTGAAAGAATAGCTCCATAAACAGGAAGAAGACTCTAGAGGCACTCCGTCGCTTTTATGTTCTCATCTAGCATATTGATAGTGCCTCTAGAGAAAAAGTCAAGTTTAAAAGGATTCGTACGCATGTGCCTTCTAGACTGAGTTATAACCGTTCTATTGTGTCTTTATCTGATTACCAAGAGTAGTTGACAAAAGTGAACGAAGAAATTTCAAGGTGAAATTTAATCTATATGTTTCTTGGTCATTATAGAATATGCCAAAAGTTTGGTTATAAATGACGGTCTTCCGCAAAACATACTTGAACGTCAACAAACATTATTCTTGTGAAATACCTTTAACGTAATCTTCTTCGACATTAAAATGTAAAACATGATGTATTTGTTCCACTCAACAGAGAAAGACCTTGCTCTATCGATTATTATGAGACTCAGAAGCTTTGTTGATTCTCTCTGTGAGAGTGTGGGTGTGGCTTTTTTTGTTTCTCCTATGGCTGATCTACACTGTATACCGACGCTAACATCGTGGTCCTTCTTCAAACAGTCAAGCTTTTTATAAAAAGAATCAAAATCACTTTCAATACTCATTTCTTCCATTATTTCTTTTGATGGCCGGTATAGTCTCTTAACTTTTCCTTGGAGCAGTAAATCCGATGAATAGATTAGAAGCAGGGTCTGATGTATGGTAGCCTATTAGATCTCATATCGTTTGTTGGAAAATGTATCAAACTGGTATATTTGACGCAGTTTTCAATGCTGAATCGGAATCTTTAATTGTTTCTTTATTTTGAGTGAGAATGAATAAAAAATTAATAATGTAATGGATGCAAACTCGTTTTTCACGACTACTTCCTCATGTTATAAGGATCAAAAAAGGACGCGTTCATGGTTTAATATCAAATGTGCTGTACTCATTAGATAGCCATTCGTTTGTTCTACTTAGAGCCACGGAGATATTTTTTGGTAATTGTAGTTTTGAAATAAAAATAACAAGATATAGATAATAAAAAAATCAAGTGTACAGTTTTGAAAATCGATTTGTGTTATGGCCACTGTTTTAGTTTTTGTGTTTCAGTATGTGACTAAGCAATGATTCTATAGTCGTCATTATGTAAATGATATTCGGAAAAGTCATATTGATTTTACCCTTTTTGTAGAATTTAGATTGATTTGTTCTTAAATTGGAATTGATTTTCAAACATCTTTAAAACTTGTTGTTGACTTCCAGATTCATTCGAAAATATTATTTTCTTGTAGAAAAGCGAATTGAAATTCTACTTCCGGAAAGTCAAGCATTTTCTGAAAATTATAAAATTGTTTGACAATTAATAATAATTAGAAAATGTTTGAACTTTTTCTAGTTCGATTTTTAAGAAAACAGAATTTATTTAAAATTTACAGTGCAATAATGAAAGCGTATAGCGCTGTTAAAAATTGCTTGATTGTCTCATAGAATGTCTCTTAAATAATTTGAAAATCAAGTATACTCACGTGTCAAATGATACTGTAATGTGTAAATTTTCTTTTATGCGTATTCGCAATTAGCTTTGCTACGTATTTATGAATGACGAATTTGCCTGCTTTTTTCAACTGGTGTCTCTCTATGTGCATCAATGGAGCACGACATTTTCATAAGGAGTAGGTAGCTGGCTTGGTAAGGATACACTCGTTCTTACACATGTTTGCTTCATTCACCATGTTCTTCACCTATACCTTTTTTCTTCCTTTGCATTTTGTTTCGCTACAACAAGAAAATGTATGCCAATATGCCAACAGGCCAACGTAATCAAGTTGAATATCCATATTTTTTCGTCACAAAGAAAAAACCGACCAATAGTCTTCTGATCTCTCATATGAATAATTTAGCAATTAAATGTTCATGAGAGATTTCTTCCCGTCAATGAAAAATTAAAGCGAAAAGAATTTGTGGAGAAATCCTCATAATATCTTGCTCTGATTTCTTTTCAAAAGAACACATGATCATAAGATATGAACGATCTCTCCCAAAGTAACTCGACTTTCCTCATTACTTTTGCTCTTACATGGTCATTTGTACATTGCTTTGTTGATGGTTTCTATTTATCAAACGACACCTTATCCGAAAGGAAAACTATAAGCAATGCATTTCGATGAGTTACTGGCGATGCAAAGAAGCCGTTAAACGAGTATGCAAAGATGTGTCCCAAAATAGATAGAATATAACAATTTCTCTTTTGTTAGCAATAAAAAAATACATCGTGTTTAAGATTTTAATCTCATACACATTGTGCTAACAGCTTTTATAACTAAAAATTAAAGCAAAACACACTAATTTTGCAGCTTTTGTGATATCCATAGTTTTTACAGATATCGATTATATCCACTATATTATAATTTCTCGATAGTTATATTTTTAAAAGAGCCAAAACAATATTATTGACCTTGAATTATATATACCATATATTAATCTTAACATACAACAGTCAAAACATAAGTATGTGATATCCTCTTACCAAGGTATTATAATACAATATTAATTCACTAAAAGTCAATAACGATATTTATACTGTGATTTAAGGTCCCCACCCCTCCGAAAAGTCAACTTTGGTCAAATTTATTGATTTTATGATTAATAACTCATTTGATAGAGCTAAGTGTCTACTCTCGAATGCACTATAGTTGATTGATTTTATCATGAGATTTAAGGATATTACATAGGTTTTTCCGAGCCCCTATATTGAAAAAAATAAGGTTTTTAAAAACTTATTTTTCGTTTTTCTCAAAATCAGTTTTTTTTTGTCATGCAGTTTACACGGGTAGATTTTTCTCTATAACGATTCGACCTGGAAGTGATCATTTTTTTTTATTACATAGGAGACATGTAGGGCTATGACTTAACAGGCTCCGATTTTTAAATTTCTCTTTTGCTAAAACAAAAAACTTAGATAGTTCATTTCTATTAGCACTTCGAATTTGAATATTTTTCGAAAAACGTTCTTTAAAAATCAAATAAAGGGAAATTCCAAAAATCGGATCCTGTTAAATCCTAGCCCTAAGGGTACTCCACAACTTGGAAACCGCACGGACTTGTTAGCTCGTATCCGTATTGTGAAATCCTTACTCGCGTAAGGGGTAATGAATTGACTAGAACTTGTGTATTTCTTTGAGATTTGTGGGAGATATTTTAACCATAAGCTATTCTAGTCAAGACTAACATTCTCTGAAATTTTGGTTGAAATCGGATGAAAAATAACAAAGTTAGTTTCTGAGGGGGGCCCCTTAATATTATCAATTTTGTGATTTATGTGAAAAGAAATTCCAAACATATATAGTTTCATTTAAATCTAAATATTTCTTTTCATAAAAAAAAAAACAATGAGAACATGACACAAAAATAATATAGCAAAGTTACAGAAAGCATGTAATAAACTACAATACGTGTAAAATAATATTTAAAAAAATTCAATACATATATTTATTTTTTTTATGAACTAGCAGTTTTTGTTTATATTATTGTTATTTTTTTTGCTTTTATGATGATCGACCAATTTTAAAAACAAAAAGAGCATAAAGAATCAATGAGAAGAATGTTAAGATTAAAGCAATTATTTCCAATCCAGTTGACCAATCAATTCGTATTTCGTATGCGTTTGCAGCTAAGTTTCGAAGATCATCTAAATTGTTAACTAAAACAAAAGACAAAATATTGAAAAAAATTTGACAAAAAAAGAATTTGTTTTTGTAAATATTTATTATTTATTTATCAAACTTTGAAAATGAATCTCATAGAAAGAATGATCTTTTCATTCTGCATATTATTGATATTTTACAACTATATGTTTTATGGTTTTTTTTTCACTGTTTTTTACGATATACGTACCGTTGTTTGGCGTTCGAAAAGTTTGCATTATATCTCGTGATAAATAACTTCCAACAAGAATTAATGCAATAAGTATAAATATGAATGCCAATAAAAGTAAAATTAATGGAAAGAAACTAAGACATACGCCTATTGAATAAGTTTCTGATGTATTTATTGAATGAATAAATAAAATAATAATAGAAAGACCAAGAAAAACTGCAGCTATTATTGTACATGCTGCAATACCTTTTGTCGATGGTAAAAAATCACATTGACAAGCTTCATTTGGATTTCTTGGTAGACATGCCGTCCAATTATAACAGTTATCGCTCATAGGATACTTATTAGGAAAACATGTTTCTGTTTGATTCGTTTCCGAAGGTATACATCGTGTGAATAACCCAATAGTTGTCTCAATGAAACGACCTGAAACAGGTATCTTTGCGGTTGCTTTTTTCCAATGATGATGACCCATAGCAGTAGCATGAAAAATAAATGCAAAGACAACAAGAGTAAAAACAGTAAAATAAAATATCTTGGCTTTGTGCATGTTTTGTATTGTAATAAATGATAACTAATTAATCTATATGAAATATTGAAAAGAAATATAAAAAAACAAAAACTCTAATAGTTACTTCTTGTATATATATTTTTTTTAAGGATTGAACTCTGTCGCGTTAAATTTCTCTTGGGAAGGAAAAAATTAATTTTTCCTAATACGTCAATTGTTTTGACAACTGTGTCAATGAAAGAATATGAAGTCAAACTATTCAAAAAAGAGTTATACAATTGACTTCATCATTTTTATTCTTATTCTCATTCTATCGTTCTTCATTTTTATGTTGAAATAAAAGAAGAAAAAAAAAAAAAAAAAAAAACAAGAAGCAAAAGTTTAGATCTAAAATACAAGGACGAACCGTGTCTGTTCGTCTAGGCAATTGCTTACATCAAATTGGATTCGTGAGTTATGTAGAAAAGAAATGTTGGTATAGTGTATCAAATATAAGAATTTTTTTGTGTTCTTGTCTTTCGTCTTGTTTGACTATGCATTTTTATATTTCGTTGGCTTGCACGATTATCTTGCATATACATATAATATACTATGATCAATATATAATACAATGAAACCGATATAATTTGCTGTATGTCCATGTCGAAGAATATTAAAAAAAAACGAAACATGAACCACAAGTTTGAATATTCGATCAATATTATATTCTTGATTATGCATAACCACAATCGTTTTTTTGTATACTTTTGACATTGGAAACCCAGTACAAGAGACAATCGTAACATTGAAATCTCAAGGCATATTTTACCATTTGTCAATTTTCTTTCATACCTTATTTACCTACACATGTAATTCGAACCAGAGAAAAACTGACAATTTACTACTACCGGTTGACCGTTAGGTACGATGTGTGCTATACTAACAGTAAATGTCATGTTTTATTGATAAAATGATGATAGGAACCTACTGATTCATAAGACTATGAGTCGTAAATATGATTAGTAATCGTTGATTTTTCTTTACTTCATCATTTTGTTGACTAGATAATGTTCAAATTGATCTAAATAAAAGAAATTGAAAAGAATAAATGTCTATTTGAGATATCAGTATTCTGTGAGAATTTTAGAATAATTTAAAAACTAAAGAAACTAAAAAGTTCGGATGTTCAACACCATCTACAGTCGATACTGGGTTATTATTCTTTTTTTTACGTATTCAATTCCCTGAACATATCCTTAACTAACTGTGTAAGTATCCATTTGAGTAGACATATATCTAGCTATCGATCTGAGTATATACTCATGTAATTATCATGTTGTTAAACTTAATTTTGATCCAAAATAATAGAAGTCCATTTCGAGATTAGAACTTTCTGATGAAAATAGTAAAAATATTACGTCACATTTTTATGATTCAACATTCTTACTTTTGATATCTTTCTTTTTTGTATTCGTTCGGTAATCCTACTTAACTAGACATTTACTAATTTATACATTTATTGAGCTAAATATATGTCGTAAGAACCTATAGATTCACCTATCTACTTATCCATTACTCATTTATTGGATCAGAAAAAAATGCCTTGAAAAATAGATATTACGTACCGTTAAAAGCAGGAAATACACATCACATGAGATATTGAATGAAAATCATAGACAAATTGCAAATCAAAATAAAAAAGTGAAAGAAAAAAAAAACGATACTAATGGAAAAAGAAAGTAAAAAAAGATTATGGCAATACAGAATAGTTGAAAACCAGTTACGCTAATCAAATAACAAAAACAATGAAAAAGAATATCAAATGTCATGTTCATGTAGACTTTTTATTTCTAGTTTTAGAAAGGTGCAAATAAAAGAGAAAAGAAAATGACAAAACAGTTTAAATATAGACTTGAGAATATTTTCTCTTTTTCTTTTGTTGTTATGATTGATTATCATGAATATGAATATAAGATCAAGTAAAGTATCAACAACTATTTTTTTGATGATGAAAAATTTCATTTGTATGATTAAAAATAGATAAATTGAAAAAAAAGATTGAATATAATGAGATATTATAAATTAAATATATTACATATTCTATCATTATTATTATAAATTCAAGAAACATAAAACGATGTACTTCTTCATTTTTATGCTATATTTTATTAATTAGTTACATTATACAATAGCATGAAGACGACTGGTATGATTAACGAAAATTTTGAATATCAAATGATTGTTTAATATCGGCTATTATAGTTTGTTTTTTTTTTGGTTCATAAACTAAGTATTTCGTCGATAAAATATAATCGTTAAGTTTCGCTTATACAAAGAGCAACCAAAAGTTTCAAATTTTTGAAATGAAATGATAGTGAAAATTTCATTCACAAAAGTTTAAATGATCTTTCATTAACAGTGTTAGCATGACTCTTAATAATCTCTTCCATTATAATGATAAAATGTTTGTCGGAACACTTAGAAAACTCGTCATTTTTGAGTATTTACACGATTAATTAAATGTAAAAACACTCTTAAAATGGATCTTCTCTATATAGAGATGTACACAATAAATATAATAGTTATGTGCATATAGATGCTAAAAAATCTAGATCTTGTTTTTTTTTTCCTTGATATTTTAACGATGATTTCTTTTTTTCTAAAGCCGTTTTAATGTCAAAAACAATTATGCTTTTGTCTATGTACGTAGTTTTTTCAAAAAGTTCTTGTCTACGTGAGTACACAAAAAAAAAAAAAGTAATTAGTCTCGAAAATCTCATAATACATTGCTTTGCTCGTTGAATTCTATTGAGTGAAATTATACTTGAAAAGAATATTTCCGAGTATGTTCGATTGAAAATATTTCTAAAAAAAAAAAAAACAAGGCAATCCTTCACACATATTTTACTATGCACATAAAATCTAAGATTAAATTTTTTTTGTTTACTTATTAAAGGTTGCTTTTTATAGATTTATATAAAAATCTAAGTCATTTTCAAAAAAAGATAATTTATAAAGTAGATCTAAGAATGTTTGTTTGTACGAAAATTCTTATATCTATAGTATCTAAAACAAAATTGACAAGAGACAAATTCTTTTACACATATTATTACTGAAAATTTTCTGTTTTTTTTTTGAATAGCATCCATACTGTTAGTTCTATTTTCAATAGACTTAAAATTAGGTTACTGTCATTCCTAAACAAGAAGATAATGTAAATGTAGGTTGAAAGAATACAGAAGAACAACAAAAATATAAATCAATTATTTATTCTAATAGACAACATCAAATGTCTTCTATAAACTATTAAAATATTTCAGTACATTTTCTTAGTCATTATTATATTATTGTCAAAATATTTTCTTTTATTTTTTACATGTCATCAAACAAATGACGTTATTGATTTTTCTTTTGACTTAATAAGAGTGTAAAGCAGAGCGAATTGAAAACTTATGTTTATCAAAAAAAAGAAAACATTCATCATTAATAAAATTAAATATTTGATCTATTATAATTACAATAATATTTTAGATCATTTAGTACGAAGTATTTCACATGAAGAAGAAAATAAAAAAGTAACAATTTTTACAATGTATTGAATCATATACATTCCATTAAACGACAAAAAAAAAAAAACTTTACTTTGGTTACATGCAATGTAATTATTTGCTTATATTAATGAAAAAAAATAAAGCAATGCATGTTTGAAAAGCTCTTCAATAGATATGCATGGTTCAACAGCTTAGTCGTTAGATATATAATGATGATAAGACTTTTCGTTTTGTAAAAAGAAAACAACAAAACCAGAAGTTAGAAAAGAAGAGAGAGGAAAAAAAAAGACATATTTATAATAGAAATAATAGTCTATATTCGATAATAATCTCAGAAGTATTTTTCTCTGATGCTTCTCCTGGCTTTTGTGTGTGTATGTGCGCTCATTACAGAAAATAACATAAGCATCGTGTGAGACCGGAAATATGTTCGTATTTAATTCTTATGTTTTTTTTTTTAATTTTTTTAGGTTCGTTATACTAATGAGAAATGTAACGAACCGGTTGTCGAATATATTGTACTCTATGAGATGCTTACAAAAAAAGAACATACATATCCGTAATTGTAAGTAGAAAAAGAAATAGAGCATTAAATTTGCACTAAACCCTTAGGAATTTAACATCATATATGATTAAGATCATCATATTAATAGAAATTGAATGCACATATATTTTCTTTGTTTTTTTTTTTTAATTTTGAAAATATTTTAATTAATACACGTGTTACTATACATAGTTAAGTCTATACTTTGATGAAGATCATTCCTATTAGGATAATAAGAAAAGATAATAGCATCAAATTGAAGAAAACAAAAAGTGTCAGTTTCTTTTTTTTTCTTCTTCGTCTTAGCAATGTTCTTCTTCATGTGACATCTCGTTTCTAATAGCTTTTTTGTCTTGCAATTTTTAGTTTGATCGTGCGTTTAGAGATTAACATAGTGTAAAGAATGCTTTTTACTATCATATTTATATTTCAAGTCACAATAAATATATGTATGTTGAAAACGACAAACACATTCATAGTATTTTTTTTTTATTGTTATAAAGAAAGAAGTGTAGAGATATTTTAGTTTGAATACATGAAAAGAATAATAATAATATTAACTTTAGCTGTAAGAGAATAAAAAGAGAAATTTCTTTATTTCGATTAGAAAAAACAAGAATATTGTTATCTGACACTAACCGTCAGAAACATACGGTTGAATAATTCTTTTGATATAATTCATATCTTTTACACACAAACTCATCCATTAATTCTATGATAAAATGAGAGATTTTATTTTTATTTTTATTTTCATTAAAATTAATTCTACATAGTATATTTTAGATATTTAGTCAACTAGTTTATATGAACGTAATCAACCATTATTTCAATTTAAAATTAACTATTTCTTTTTTTGCTTTACGTTTATGGGACGATTTTATTATTATTTTTATCGTTATCTGTGATTAAACAAAACGCAAGAAAGAAGAAACAAGTTCGAGTTATTCTTTCTTCAAATTTCCTTC